AGCGGCGAGCCTTCCGTGGGAGGCGGCCTTTTCCTCGGCCGCGAATCGGCCGAGGCGATTGTCTCGGCGGCTTTCTCCTGGGAGGCGGCCTCGTCTTCGGGTTGGGCGCCTCGTTTGGACTCGGCTGCGAGCAGCACGGCCGAGGGCGCGCTGCTCCCAGATGAGCCGCGCGCGGCACCTGGCTCGCCGGCCACCCCCGCAACTGCGGTCTCGGTGGCGGCTCCCGTCACTGCTGGTTGGTCCTGCTGCTTCGTCGGCGTCTGCGCCCGAGGCCCCCATTTTGCCTTGGGGGTCAAGTGCGCCCTGCGCAACTGCGCCTCTTCGCGCCTCCCACCAGCAGAGCTCCCACTCGCAGCGCTTATCGGCGGCGGCGGCCGATATTCCCGCGAGGAGCTAGACGACTGCGGGGAGGCCTCGCGCGGCGGTCGCTCGGGGCTTCCGCAACTGCGGTCCTCCGTCGGCTCCGCGACTGCGGCATCCGCGGCAGCCCCTTGCAGGCCGAACCTTTCCCGCAGTTGCTGCTTCAGCTCGGCGAACCGCTTGTCGACCTCGGCTTTGCGACCTGGGTCCATGGCGTGGCCGCGCGCGGCCCCCGTCCGACGGGGGAACTGCGGCCGGCTTGGGAGAGGAAGGACAACGAGGGAGACGGCGGGGATGAGGACGAGGAAGGCGAAGAGGAGGATGGAGAGGACGCGACGGAAGAGGATGGCGCGAAGAGCTCAGACGAGGGTGAAAGGAGCAAGGGGACTGCGACGAGGATGACGGGGCAGAAACGGAGGAGGAGGAATCAACAAAGTCCGCAACTGCGGCCCTCGGGGGGGACTGCGACGAGGACGACGGGAAATGACTCGGCCAACGGAGGCGGGCTACGGCCAACGGAAGGAACTGCGACGAGGAGGAAAGGCGGAGGGAGGAGACTGCGACGAGGACGACGGGGAAGGGGCGACGAGGACGACGAACAACTGCGGATCCATCTGTTTAAGTACCTGTCTCCGCAACTGCGGCCGCGCTAATTAACGTCACGAGTGCTTCAACGGAGGTGATGCGCGCCCGAAGCACCTAATTACAGCGGTCAGTCGTGGGAGCGCCGCAACTGCGGCCAAGCTGTATGAAGTCGCTAGAAGGCAGCGCCGCAACTGCGGCCGAAAGCGCGCATAGTGAGTCAAACGAGCGCGGCGTCACGCGATCGGTCCCCGCAACTGCGGTTCCATGGCTGCGCAATCCCGCAACTGCGGTGTCAAGGCTGCGCGGACCACCGCGGTTGCAGCTGCGCCCCCTTGCTCGCGTCGAACCGCCCAGGATTCGGATGGGCGTGCAGCATCTTCCAGAACGTGAACGTTCCGTGGCCATCGCTCTTGCCGAGACCTGCCCTCGGGCCCCGCACGGGATGCGAGTGCGGCTCCACCTCATACGTGTTGAACTTCGGGCTAGACCAGGATGGGTGGACGCGAATGCCCGAGCCGTCGTCGCGGATGAGGACGAAATCCCACTGGGGCAGAGGGATTCTTTGCGCCTGTCCTCTGTCCACCCCTTTCGTGTGCCTCATGTTGTCGAGACTGCTAGGGCACGGGCGGCACTCGCAGCGGACCAACCCGCGACTGCGGTCATTGTCAGGGCCGCACACGACGCGCAGCATTGTAGGTCCATCCATCTGCGCGACCATCTCCAGCCAAGACCACGGCACTTTGACAGTGTGGTCCCAGTCCCAATCCCTGTTGTCCTGCGCCTTCCCCTTTGCGCGGTACTTAAGGATCTTCGAAATTTCCTCCGCAACTGCGGTACCTCCGAAGACGGGCGTGCGGCTGCCGAAAGGGTTTTCTCGGTCTTCGTACTCGTCTCGGAACCACTTCAAGGCCGCGTTGTGCTGCTTATAATTGCCGTTCCAGTTCGCCCTGAAGTTCTCGAAGAATTCCAACTTGAAAATTGGCAGCGGCTCATTGCGCACAATTTGAAACAGCGCAACTGCGCCTTGTTCTTCGCGCCCTGGGGGAAGCAGGGGACCGCCTCCTTTGCCCGCCGCTGTTGCGGCCGCGGGCTCCGCGGCAGGAGAACCTGCCGAGGCACTCGAGCGGCCACCTTCCCATGCATTCCACCAGCCACCCTCGTCGTCCCACCAGCGGGCGCCCTCCATTCCCCAACCCTCGCATCCGTTGCCGCCCCATCCGCCGCCCTCCCATCCGCGACTGCGGTCACTTCCGTCGCCGCCATCCTGCGCTTTTCCTCTCCATCCGCCAAGAGAATCTCCGCCGCCCCAGCCGCCACTGCGGTCACCTCCGCCGCCGTATCCGCCACTGCGGCCGCCCCAACCCCCACTTGTTCCCCAACCGCCGCCGCTGCTCTTTGAAGAATCCGCAACTGCGGCCCGTGTTTCCTCTTCCGCTTTGTCATCCCACCCTGCACGCATCTCTGCCCCGACTGCAGGCCGCGGAGGCGGGCGCGAGCCCGCCCAACCGCCGTGAAACCTACCGTCGGCGCGGGCTTGAGCCGAACGTGCATGGAGGAGGAGGATGAGGAGGAGGAGGGTGAATGTGAGGAGGATGATGCGTTCCTGGGAGGTGTGCCTTCGCGTGCAACACAAGAGCCCTGAGAATTCCTGAGGCCCCTCCAACAGCCAAGGACGCGGATGACAAGAAAGTCGAGAAGATTGGGAACCGATTGAGGATTAAGAGGCGTGCGACGAAAGGGATGATGATGACGAAGAGGAAGATCAGTGAAGGGGAGGAGCGGACAGGAATTATGGAGGAGTGATAGCAGAGGAGGAAGAGGGGGAAGGGGGAGGAGGAGGAGGAGGAGGAGGAGGGAGAGGAAAAGGGGGAGGAGGAGGAGGAGGAAGAAGGTGGAGGAGGAGGAGGAGGAGGAGGAGGAAGAGGAGGAGGAGGAGGAGGAGGAGGAAGAGGAGGAGGACGACGACGACGAGGAGGAGGAGGAGGAGGAGAGGGAGAAGGAGAACGGGGACAGGAGGACAAGGACGGAGAAATATAACAAATGAGGGGGAGGAGGCGGAGGAGGAGGAGGACGAGGAGGAGAAGCAGGAAGAGGAGGAGGAGAGGGGGGAGGAAGAGTGCGCGTGAGACTGGGAGAACGAGGTAATTAATTAGAGAGGGAACGGGGGAGGAGGGAGGACAAGGAAGAGCATACAGCGACGAGAAGAGGAGAAGGAACAGACGAAGGCTCCTGCTGATCGCATTTCCGCATCGTTCAAAGCAGTGCCGGGGCACTGCTTTGAACGACTGGTGATGTTCAAAGCAGTTCCCCGGCACTGTGTTCCATCGTCGCCGTTATAAGGGCTATCGGATTACCTGTACCCGATGATCTCGATGACGTGGCAGGCACGGCGCGATCATGATCCTGTCCAATATGTACGCCCCTAGGGTGTGTAGCCGCTAGCACCACCAGCCAAGCCCGTGACAGGCGGCTGCGTAGGCGGCCTGGTCAGCGCTGCTTGGGCTTGGCGGTGCTACTCGAAGACCTTTTGGAGTTCCATGAGGTGCGTGGTGAGGGAATGTTGCATGGTTCCCGCATCCCCAGCCGTAGCTGCAGCAGGAGCTGCAGCCACAACACCCTGCAGGCGCCCCATGGCCTCCTCCAGACCACTGGCCTGGCCCGAGGCGCCAGCTGCCAGCACGGCAGCTCTGGCGGTGGCCACCTCGAACTGGGCGGCCTGCAAGGCCGCGCGCACGGCATCAGCCTCGGTGAGCCTGGCTTGAAGGTTGTCCTCGAGCTCTTTGGCCGCAGCGTTGAGCAAGTCCGCCTCCTTCTGTTTGGTGGTCTGGCTGTCCAGAGCCCTGCGAAGCATACCATCTGGAGTGCGCCCAGCCCGTTCACTCTCCTCCGCCGCTGCGAGTGCCCGCTTCGCGGTGGCCAACACCTCGGGCTCCTCGGGCAACTGGAGACGGCGCCGGGCGGCAAGCGTTTTGCGGGCCTTGGCCACGTCGTCAGGCTCCCCTGAGGAGGAGGGGCGATCTGCGGCAGTCGATCTGCGCGAGCCTGAAGCCGAGCGTCGCCTCGCGGATTGCTGCCCTGTCGGCACGGCTCCTGTGGAATCTGGGCGTCCTTGCCGATCCCTGCCGCACGTGTAACACCGCCGATTCGTGCAGAAGTTGCGTGCAAAGCCACACTCACGAGCAGCAACGCACGCCCATTCTGCTTTGGCGTCATCACTGCCACCCTGACCTTTGGCTTTCGCCGTGGCCGTGGGCGGGCGAGACCCGTGATGGCGTGCCAGCCTGTCGACGTCAACCTCAAGTCCGAGGCGGCGCCGCGCAGTGGCGCGAAGCCGACGCTGTCGCCGATGCCAGGCGGGCGATCGGGACCTCGACCTCGGCGGAATGCAGCCCCAGGCGGCAGGGACCTCCCCACCCAGCGGCAAGAGGCCAGAGGCGGCAGCCGCACGGCAGGCGCTGGCACGCTGCGGCCGCATGCGCCCCAGCGGGGCTGGGGGCTCCTTTATGGCGGGGCGGGCGGAGGGGGGCCGCGCAGGGAGCCACCTGGAGGAGGAGGAGGAGGAGGAGGAGGAGGAGGAGGAGGAGGAAAAGGCCTCACCAGGGAAGAGCGGGACACGTCGCTGCTGGAGCTGTGCGCGAATGCGCCACGCACCTGCGACCGCAGCACAAAGTTGGGAGGCATGCGGTGCGGTCGCCGACGCTAGAACCGTACGTATCTGAGGTGCTGGGGACTTCCAAGGAGGGGGTAAACGAGGAGGAATAGCCGGCTCAACGCAAGAGTGGCCCGAGGTAAGAGTGACCCCTGGTGCACGGCTTCGGGGGGCCAGGAAGAGGCCACATCCAATCGCGCTGGTCGCTGCTGGGGGGATCCCTGTGGGCCTGCACCGAAGGTCACTCTGGCGAAGGGCCGCTCTTACGCATAGCAGATTGGGAGGAGGGCGGGCGGACGAGGCCGGGCGCATGGAGGAAGGAAGGGGTGAGGCGGGAGGTCTACGGCGTGCGGGCTTCTGGAGGATGGATGACAGGATGGATGAAGAGAGCGGGCAGGTCAGGGACCTCGGTCGAGAGTTATAGACATGTTGCTGTACACGTCCCACCCGTCGCAGCCAAATATGCTCAAGTTCTTAGAGTGCTGCATCTTCAGGAGCTCCCTCCGCGCCACTGCACCAAGCCTACATGCATCCTCCCCCCTTCCCCTGCGTCTCCGTGTCCTGTTCCTCCTGCTCCTCCTCTATTCCTTGCTCCTCCCCCGCGGGTACGTGTTCTCCTCCTCCTCTTTCCTCCACCTCCGTATTCTCCTTCTCCTCCGGCGACACCTCCTCCTCGCGAAGGAGGTACTGCAGGCCTCCCCTGGCGAGCGGCGGGAGGGCCGCCGAGGCCGAGCCGAGTGGGCCGAGGAGACCTGCTGCGTGGGCAGTGTGAAAGGGGGCGGGGGGCAGGCGACGCGAGGCGAACGCCACAAACGACAAATGAGCGACGACCAAAAACGGGTCTGACGCGAGATGGCACGGCGACCTTACGCCGCAGCTTACGCGGACCGCCAGCGCGGCACGCCACACTGGAGACCAGGGCGCTCACGCGCGACCTCACGCGGGCAGCTTACGCGCCAACGTCGGCGGAGACGACCCGTTTTTTCGCGCCGCTCAAGTGGCACCTTGACTCGACGTCCGAGGTGTCGTGCAACACCGAAAGAAGCTTGTTGCCAGAGTCAGTCCTCCAGGGACTGTCTTCGGGCGACGGGGTAATCAAAGACGACCCGCGGGGAGAGATAGGCTTCTGGGATGAGGTCGAAGGCTCTGGCGGCGCCACGTGACGAACAAAACGCTACGTCGCGAGGAAGAAGAGGAGGAGGAGGAGGAGGAGAACGACGACGACATGGACAGACAACAAGCAAGAGCTGTACGAGGAGAAGTGAGATGAGCAGCAGCAGCAGCAGCAGGAATCTCAGGATAGAAAGGCACGGAGAACGAGGCGGAGGAGATGGCGGTCCTCGCTGTCGCCGCCGCCGCCGCCACCTCCTGCGCTCCTCCTCCCGCAATCGGGGGCGGCCAAGAGGGGGGCGTCCAAGAGGGGGGGTGCAAATCATGGCCGGCGGCGTGTGCGCAGCCCGAGGTGGGGCCGGGAACGTCGTGGGGCCAGGGCCAGGGACGCTATGAATCCTGGGAAGTATCAGGGCCCACGCCATGATGTCCACCCCCCCTAGTGTCATGTCGGGCGTGTCCCCCTACCGGGGGATGTTCCACGAAACAAGAATACCCCCCAAAATGCTCCACAAAGGTACACCAACATACTCCCCAAATGGATCCCAGACTATGTTTGGAGCATTTTGGGGATATTTGTCCCAACCCTCCTGTGTTGGGTACTCGTTTTGAATAGAGCACTGTGGTGTGGTCTCCACCTTCCTCCTCCTCCCGCCTCCCGCCTCCTCTCTCCCCTCTTCGTCTCTTTTCTTGCTCGTACCTCCTCATCCTCTTCTCTTCGCTCCTCCTCTCCTCGCTTGCTTTTTACTTATCTTTACCTCGCCATCTCTGGGGCGCTGCGATCTGTGAGACTGTCGCCACTTTCGTGGGCTGCTGGGGTGGCCAGCGAAATGACGCCCCACGGGGACTCAGATTAGACCTCGCCATCCCTGGGGGCTGCGATCTGTGAAACTGTCGCCACTTTCGTGGGCTGCTGGGGTGGCCAGCGGAGTGACGCCCCACGGGGACTCAGATTCGACCTTGCCATCCGTGGGGGGGCTGCGATCTGTGAGACTGTCGCCACTTTCGAGGGCTGCTGGGGTGGCCGGCGCAGTGACGCCCTACGGGGACTCAGATTAGACCTCGCCATCCGTGGGGGGGCTGCGATCTGTGAAACTGTCGCCACTTTCGAGGGCTGCTGGGGTGGCCAGCGCAGTGACGCCCTACGGGGACTCAGATTAGACCTCGCCATCCCTGGGGGGCTACGATCTGTGAGACTGTCGCCACTTTCGAGGGCTGCTGGGGTGGCCGGCGCAGTGACGCCCTACGGGGACGCAGATTAGACCTCGCCATCTCTGGGGGGCTGCGATCTGTGAAACTGTCGCCACTTTCGAGGGCTGCTGGGGTGGCCAGCGGAGTGACGCCCTACGGGGACTCAGATTAGACCTCGCAATCCCTGTGGGGCTGCGATCTGTGAGACTGTCGCCACTTTCGAGGGCTGCTAGGGTGGCCAGCGGAATGGCGCCCCACGGGGACTCATATTAGACCTCGCCATCCCTGGGGGGCTACGATCTGTGAAACTGTCGCCACTTTCGAGGGCTGCTGGGGGGGCCAGCGCAGTGACGCCCCACGGGGACTCAGATTAGACCTCGCCATCTCTGGGGGGCTGCGATCTGTGAAACTGTCGCCACTTTCGAGGGTTGCTGGGGTGGCCAGCGGAGTGACGCCCTACGGGGACTCAGACTAGACCTCGCCATCCCTGTGGGGCTGCGATCTGCGAAACTGTCGCCACTTTCGAGGGCTGCTAGGGTGGCCAGCGGGGTGACGCCCCACGGGGACTCAGATTAGACCTCGCCATCCCTGGGGGGCTACGATCTGTGAAACTGTCGCCACTTTCGAGGGATGCTGGGGTGGCCAGCGGAGTGACGCCCTACGGGGACTCAGGTTAGACCTCGCCATCCCTGGGGGGCTGCGATCTGTGAAACTGTCGCCAGATTAGATGACCTCGCCATCCCTGGGGGGCTGCGATCTGTGAAACTGTCGCCGCTTTCGAGGGCTGCTGGGGTGGCCAGCGCCGTGACGCCCTACGGGGACTCAGATTAGACCTCGCCATCCGTGGGGGGGGGGGCTGCGATCTGTGAGACTGTCGCCACTTTCGAGGGCTGCTGGGGTGGCCAGCGGAGCGACGCCCTACGGGGACTCAGAATAGACCTCGCCATCCCTGGGGGGCTGCGATCTGCGAAACTGTCGCCACTTTCGAGGGCTGCAGGGGTGGCCAGCGGGGTGACGCCCCACGGGGACTCAGATTAGACCTCGCCATCTCTGGGGGGCTGCGATCTGCGAACCTGTCGCCACTTTCGAGGGGTGCTGGGGTGGCCAGCGGAGTGACGTCATACGGGGATTCAGATTAGACTTCGCCATCCCTGGAGGGCTGCGATCTGTGAAAATGTGTCATTTCCCGCGGGCCGCCCGCAGACCTGGCGGCGCGCCTGCGAACGTTCAGCTCCCGCACTAAATGTGCAGGGATGAGGCGGAGAAGCTAGCGGGCGAGCTAAGTCTCGCTCGCTTCTTGCACTTACTATAAGCAGGTTTGAGCCTGTGGAACGCTGCGACGGCATGGCGCAGACAGCGCTCAGTGTTTAGCGTGTACCTGAAAACGCGGCGCTTTTCTGTCTCCTCCCGCCACCTTCATTGTCGTCCTATTCCCCGCTTCACCTGCTCCATGCATGCTGCTGCTGCCGCGATGGCCTTTCGCCCCCCCATTCCATCCTCCTCCTGCCCCTCGTTCCCGTCCCCGTTCTTCTTCGAGCCTTGGGCCTCGATCCTCGTTCTTTCGATCGTCGTCCTGTGAGTCGTGCAACGCATGCGCGTCCCATGTAGATTGCGCAACAAATCACCGTGTCTACATTGTCGTTGTTCCTGCTAATGTTGGCCTACTCCTCTTGCCACTTAATGCACATGGGTTGGGTACGTCGCAGGGTATTGTTTTATTCTGCGTGGGAAGTCCCCCTGTAGGGATACACGCCCGACATCACCCCTTGTTCTTCACCCCCCCTCTGGGCCGCCCCCGACGTGCACGACTGCCCGCGTCCGCGAACGCCGTGGCCGCTCTCCGCCCCCCCCCTCGTGCCCTCCCCCCCCCCGCGCGCACGCCCGACGGCGGGGGTCTCGGAGAGAGGGGGGGCTCCGCACGCTGTCGGCTCGGCCTTGCAAGTCGGAGGAGGAGGAGGAGGAGGAGGAGGAGGAGGGGGAGGAGGAGGAGGAGGAGGAGGAGGAGGAGGAGGAGGAGGAGGAGAGAGAGGAGGAGGAGGGAGGAGGAGGAGGAGGAGGAGGAGGAGGAGGAGGAGGAGGAGGAAGAGGAGGAGGAGGAGGAGGAGGAGGGGAGGAGGAGGGAGAGGAGGAGAGGAGGAGAGAGGAGGAGGAGGAGGAGGAGGAGGAGGAGGAGGAGGAGGAGGAGGAGGAGGAGGAGGAGGAGAGAGGAGGAGGAGGAGGAGGAGGGGTAGAGAGGAGGAGGAGGAGGAGGAGGAGGAGGAGGAGGAGGAGGAGGAGGAGGAGGAGGAGGAGGAGGAGGAGGAGGAGGAGGAGGAGGAGGAGGAGAGAGGAGGAGGAGGAGGAGGAGGAGGAGGAGGAGGAGGAGGAGGAGGAAGAGGAGGAGGAGGAGGAGGAGGAGGGGAGGAGGAGGAAGGAGGAGGAGGAGGCGGAGGAGGAGGAGGAGGAGAGAGGAGGAACGGGAGGAGGAGACGGATTCGTTGTCACGCAACAGACACTCAAACTCCAGAAGCAACTGAGCAGCAAGAAAGGGAGGAACGAGCAGCGACGAGGAGAGGACCCAGGAGAGCGGAGGCATGAGGCAGGAGGGACGACGACGACGTCGACGACGACGACGACGACGACGGCCACCAGGCGGCACACGCTCCGCGCGTGGCTTCGCAAAGGCGGGCGGGGGTGCTCTTCGTAGGTGCCGGGCAGCACCAGCGCCCAACAGAACAGCGACGGCCCCGCGCTGGGCACGCGGAGGAACGGGACGGCGTCGTCCTCGCCCCCGCCGGATCCGGACATCGTGGGAGGATCACCGCGGGCGCTCATGCGTCGGGACGGCGGCGGGCGAGGGGGGGGGGAAATGAGAAGGAGAAGGCATTCTCAGAAGGCGGCAGGAATTCTCAGAAGCCCTCGCGCCTTCTGAAACGTGTTCTGCGTATTCGGGGAAGGCTTAGAACACTTCTCAGAAGGTCGGGGGACTTCCGAGCCTTCTGAGAAGGTCCGCCCCGTCTCACTTCCCTACAGGCTCGCCGCCGATGAGGCCGGTAATCATATCATGATGTTAGTGGCTCAATAGACGTTCCAGGAGGTCCAAGAGTACCTGACGGCCCCAGTTTCGGCAGCACGGTGGGGAACATTGGGAGATCTTAAGGATAATGGAATGCATCGGCGGGGCCCCTGGGATCCTCAGTGGATGGGTGTCTGGCCCGGGGAGGTCCCGCACGATAGTTTGAGCAGAGACCGACCGCCTCGGCATTGCCAGAGGCCTACCACGAAATGGGCGAAGAAAGAAAGGGTGATCCCAGAACAAAAACAATGCTCCTAGAACAGAAAGCCGCTGAAGTAAAACATGACGGTCTTTCTTAGGCTATTGTTTTGCCGCATTTCCTGGCAAGCAGGGAGCAAGTCTGTTACCAGACGGCAAAGCAGTCGACGCGCCAAACGCGCGCGCGGGGGACGATTATTAAGAAATCCACAGCATTGAAACTCCCAACAGCCCTTTAGGGCGTAGGTGGTCTAGCGTGTCTCGTCTTCCATCTGCCCCTCTTCCCCTTCGGGGAGCGGTTTACCCTTCCCCGTAACGCCCTCCCCTGGACTTGGACGGGGGGTCCCACGAGGGGTTGGGGCGTCCAGGATGGCCCAAGATGGCTCCAAGAGCGCCTCGGACGGCCCAAGGTGAGCTCCAGGATGGCTCAAACTATCCCAAAATGCCTGAAGATGGTTCCCAAAATGCTCCAAAAGGCCCCAAGACTGCCGTCGATGTCTGCATCTCCTCCACGTGGCGCGGCCGCGTGGATGCCCCTGGCTTGATGGCAGGGCCCTGAAGTGCTCACAAAGCTACTCCTCTTCTCCCTACCCTGTCCAACGCGCCGCCCCTCGAGGAAGTCAAGCCCCGCCAACGCTACCCCACCAGTAGCGGCACGCTTCCCACCCCTCGCTCCGTCGGCAACCCTTACGCAAAAGGCTCGCGGTACTCGGGGGAACCACGGGCAACTCGACAACCTCATCCATGCTGTCGCCCGCAGCATGGCGCAGGCGTACAGGCTCTTGTTTCGAGCTACTCGATCTCCATGATGCACCCGACATTGCGAAGGTGCATGAGCTTCTGGTGGGGCCCGACCTCCAGGTGGCTCCCCTGCATCAGGTGGCGCGGCAGCTGTACTTACTCGATATCCAGCAGGTGCTTGATCTTCTGGTGGTACTTGATCTTCCCCACGCTCCCCTGCTGCTGGCGGTGCTGGAACTCCTGGGGGTACCCGAGCCGCATGCGGAACCCGCGCTTCAGCAGGTGCCCGAGCTTCAGGTGGCACCTGCACTCCAGAAGGAACACCCTTTTTCAGGCGGTACAGGAACTCCGTGCGGTACCCGATCTCCTGGTGGTACTTGATCACCAGCAGGTACCCGATCTTCCGAAGGCACTCGAGCTCCAGGTGGTGCTTCATCTCGCGAAAGACCCCCGCTTCAGGTGGAACAGGAGCTCCCGGCGGCACCTGATCGCATGGGGAACGCCGTTGTTCGCGTAGGGCTCGATCGCCAGGATCTCGTAGGGTCGCGCTGACCTGGCTTGGGGACGGACCGTCGCGTCGCCCTGGCCCTCGTCACCGCTCGTGACGCGGTGCTCCACTTCAGGGTCCGCCAGCCGCCTGTTTGGTCGTCCTCGGCGGCGTCAGTGGCCTCAGCGTCATCGGCCGCCTCGTGGTTCCGTCGAGCACGAACGGCCCTGGCGGCCGAGCCCGCGGCGAGCATGAGAGGCACCGCAGCGCTCCCCCGCTTGGCCGCAGCCTCTGATAGCCTTGCCCTGCAGCCCTGCAAGCCGGCCACTCCTGCAGGAGAAACTTCGCGCGCTGGGTCCGCGCGATCCTGCCGCAGTTGGAGCGCTGAGCGTAGCCCGCGCACTCGATCAAGGCGTTGGGGCGCCGTGGTGGAGGGGGTGGGGGGGGGGGCGCCTGGGCGGCCTGGAAGCCGCGGTGGCGGGGTCCGCGGGCCTGGCAGTGGCCGGCGGAGCTCCGTCCAGCTCGACCCTGAAGAGCGCGATGTACTCGAGGACGCGCTCGGTAGTTCGGGGATCCTCCTTGACCTGCCGCATGGCCCACTCAGGTGGCGCACTGCGGCTGGCTCCTTCCTTGGCCCACTAGTCTGCAGGGTCGGTGTGGCACATGTGGATCTGCGCGTCCGCTCCGAGCTCGGCCCTCTTGACCTGTGAAACTTGGGGGCCACCTTGATGACCTGGAAGGTGTCGCAGGGGACGAGGTCCGCGTCCTCGGGGCGATCCCACACTTCGGCCCAGATGTGGGCGAATGGCCGCGCCGCCTGCGTGCACCAAGCCCTGCCTCTGGCCAGGCCTCGCACGACCGGCGCGTTGCCGATGGCGTCGATGGCGATGCCCGCGAGGAAGACCCCGTGCCTGAGCGCCTGCAGCAGGCTCCATAGCTCCGCCAGCGCGGAGCTGGGGCCGAAAAAGTAGAGGGGCCCGTAAAATCCTTGAACGACGGGGCTGCCGTCGGGGCTGTTCTGCAGTGCTGCCCAGCCTCCATGCCGTAGATCTTCGACGCCCTTGACCGACCCGTCGGGAACCAAAAGCCCCGTCAGCTCGGCCCCCTTGGAAGGCTCGGCTCAGGTGATCGATCAGCGGGCCCTGGAGCGGCCAAGCCAAGCAGTGGCATGGCGTGCGCCTGAGGCCGCGCCCCCAGAGCATCTGAGCGCGCGCGCTGCCCGACGGAGGCGCCGAGATGTGAGATCTCTCTGAAGGTGGGGCCCGCGTCGTGGGCCGCGAGCTTGCCCCTGACTTGCTGGCAGAGCTGTCCCTGGCGCTTCCAATAGTGGTGCTGCAACGTGCCCGCATCGGCGTCGCAGATCCCGCTCCTCGCACTGTCGGTCTGGTTGGTGTTGTGCATGGCCTCTTGGGAGGGGGAACTGCCGAGGACCACCTTCTTGACAATGTCAGCGTGCTGCTTGGTCCACAGGCCCTTCTTCCGTCTCTCGATCAGCTGCCTGACTGGCGTGAGCCACGGGACTGGCGCGAGAGGATGCCGATCGCGCTTGGCCGCGGCCCGCGCCTCCAACGCCCTCGCACGCATCGCGCGCAGCATGGCCCCTTGCAAAAAGATTGGGGGCATACCTGTTCCATGTTGTTGGTGACGCGCTGGCCCAGAAAACTAAAACAACTCCACGAGGTGGTAGCGGTCGCGCGATCTCGATGGCGGAAGGCATGCTCAAGCCCTGGGCCAACACCGAGGCCAAGGCGGCTCCAGCGGCCCCCCGCACGTGCATCCATGGGTCCTTGGCCATATGGTTGCTGTCCCTGATGCCGCGCTGCACCTTGGACCAGGCCGCTCGCTGGGGGTGCCGACCGTCGGGGTAATCCCACGCTTCCCGCGCCCAGGCCACGATCGGGGCCAGCGCGAGCGCGTCCGCCAGTGATGGGTCTAGACAGACCATCGTGCAGCACGCTGGACGTGAAGGCTGTAGCCCACCCTCCTGATGGCCCTCTCCTTCTGCCTGAGGAAGTCCAGGGTGGGCTTGGGCGCGCCTCGCACCCTGGCCCCGAAAGCAACGGGGGCGCCCAAGCCCTGCCTCACCACCTGCTGAAGCTTGCCTCTGCGAGGTCTGGGCAGCCCTCGTATATTGGGCCACCTCTGCTGGGCCATCCGCAGGCGAGCGAGGCGCACAGGTGCTGACGAGTGGGTGGAGGTGACCTGAGGGCCGTAGCCCACGGCAAGCCATCTGTCGGACAGACTGGGCGGGACGCCCAAGATGCTCATGTCCTCGGTGAGGGCCGCCGACGGTGTCGAGGTTTGAAGAGAGGCGCACCTGCCCTTGACCCCAGCCCTCGCTCGCGCCACCTCAAGGCCCAGGAACGACTCCACCATCCAGAAGAAGAGCCGCGCGGTCTTGGGCAGCACCTCCAACACCTGAGATTCCGTGCCCATGATGTGCAACGCGATGTCGTCCACGCACAAGTAGATGGTGGCACGGAAGATGCACAACAGGTCGTCGAGGCACGGCGCGGGGTAGAACCGCAGGGAGGTGGGCGCGAACAGGCTGCCCGCTGGCAGGGCCGCGATGGAGAGGACCGCCACCGAGCACGCCCCGTCGACTCGGATGACCCTGCCGAGGGCGAAGCTCTCCATGGCACGGGAGATGACCTCGAGCGGGCTCTCCCACCACGCTGCAAGCCGCCACGTGCGCTGATGGTCCGCCTTCTAGCACTTAGCTGGTCGTCCAGGAGGGCCTTCCATAGGGCCGCCGTGAAGTCGCATCGCCTGGTGTGGCTGGGCAGCGAGGCTCTGACGCTGGGATGCTGCCACGCCTCCGAAAGGCGGCACGGTCCAGGATGGAGAATGATGGGCCTGCCTCCACCATCCAACTTTTCGGTGGTGAAAGCGAGAGGCAGCTGCACCTGCGTGGGCCAGCGGCAGAACTTCTGGCACCAGGCGGGCAGCTGGGCCAGCATCGCGAGGGCGCCGTCGGCGAGGTAGGCCCAGAGCTTGGGCTGCCAGCCGTCCAGCCCGATGCCCGTCCGTAGCTTGAAGCGCTGGGCGGGCCTCCTGAGGTGCGACGCCGAAGGCGGGGCCACCTCGGCCTTCTCCAAGCCCCGCCAAGGCTCGGGGGCCGCCGGTCTGGCGGCCCACACTCGGGACCAGTCCCGGAGCACTTGGTCCGCAGCGGCCTGATGGGCTGGAGGGGGCTGTTTTTTTCCCCACATCCAAAGTGGGGTTCTTGTTTTCTCTGCACACCCCCCGCGCAGGATCTCACACCCTCTCTCTCTCTCTCTC